CTGCAGAATCTGAGCATGGGGGTCAAGCATGGAGTGCAGGTCGTCGGCTTGTGCCTCTGTAGAATAAGACGTGCAGTGAGGCTCTTCATTGGTGCACTCAGCTGAGCACACCCGAGCTCAATCTGTTCATCTCGGGTTGCTTGAGCCGCCATGCGAGCAAGAATGAAGTCGAGTTTTGCATCGTACGCCAATGTTGTCTCTCGAAGTTCACCCTTGTGAGTAGATATGTGTTCCATGGTGAACTCATGAGAAGAATTGTCAACTCGATCCTCTATGGCATGTATGCGCTCCATTAAGCTCTCAACTTGGAACTCCAGATCTCTCTTACGGGCAGCCTGGGATGCCAAAGTATCGATGATCTGATCGAGCTTTGCATTGTAGGCTGTCTCTTCTTTTCTAGATTCTATAAAAGCCAGGATCTGGTCGAGCTTCGCATGGTAGGCAGTCTCTCTTTCTCTAGCTGCTTGTGAATCTATGAACTCAATAATTCGGTCGATCTTCTCGTTGAACTTAAGGGCCTCATAATTTTGCTCAACCGCAAGATGGTTCCAGCACTGCTCGGAAGAATAAGGGTACGGTTGGGAGTGGTACTCCGGGAAATAGACTGGCTCGTTGTTCCAAAAGGGGTCGTGCAGGAAGAAGTACCCGTGATTGAAATTCATTGTACCTGCACACCAGAACAAAACAATCACGCGTAGCCAAGAAAAAGGGAGGAGAAAAAAAGATAAAAACTAAAACAAGAATAGAAGATAAAAACACAAATGCACAAAAGAGAAACACAGAAAATAAGATCAAACACCAAAACTAAATATCCTACTTGCCTTCTCTGCAACAGCGCCAAATTTGTTGTGCACAAATTATATTTTTACCGAGTACCGAATCTGACGATTCGATCCCCGGGTCGATCTCTCGAGAAAGTCGGTTCGGAATTTAGCAATGGTGTTGATAACACAAGAAGAGAAAATAAACCTAAACACTCTAAATCAGATGATGAAGCTAATAATTAACTAAGGGAAAGCATGAAAATAAATCTACCTAAAATGCAAATTGAAAAGCAATAAAGAAGCTAAGGAGTCGGGGATATCTGTTTTGGTTCAAAGAGCAAGTTTCGAGCAAGAGATCATTCGGTTAAAAGGAATCGGTAACTTATTCGTTTAGAGATTCGTCCTCAATAATTTTTCGTAACAAGAGGTTGAACATGAACGATAAATCAACGAGCCTTTTAACACATTGGCAATACAGTTACGAACAAGCCAATTTCATATGAGCCATGGTCTATCGACTCCTCCTCTTTCGATTCAATGAGTCAATTAGTTAGCCTATATGGTTTTTAATCAATCTAAACAAAGGGATCAACACAAATATGAAAGAATGAATCAAACCCCAATCAACAAGGAATTGAAAATTGAAGTGTCACTCCTTCAATAATTTTCATCATTCAAACACAATCTCATCAAACCCTAATTAGGACAACTCACATGAATTGAATAATCAACAAGATCAACAATCACAATTGAATTCAGAACATCAATCCCCTATCCCTAGCAATGAGATTTAGCTACGTAAAAGGAATTCAATACACATAATTATTTCTCCAAAAACAACCATTTTCATGAACTGAAATAGCAGAAATTCTTAGAATAAACTTCAGTCAAGAGTTGAATCCTTATTACAAGCTTGATCACAAAGCAAGATGAAGAAGAAAACAGGAAAATATATGGAGAAATTAAGAAGAAAAAGAAGAAGAAGAAGAGAAGAGAAGAAAAAGGAAGAGAGAAAGAGTGTTCGTGGTGTTCTCGGGACCTAGGGCTTTTACCCCCTGGTCGAGAATTATTTCTGTTGAAATCTCGATCACGTATTTATAGGTAGAAAAAAGTCATGGCTTGATAGAGTGACGCAGGCGTGGGCTGCCAGGTTGTCGCGGCGCGAGGCCAACTGACGCGGCGTGGGGGTGTTATAGTGCCGCGGCGCGACGGGATGCCGCGGCGTGACGGGCGCTTGCTGCTTCTCTGGTTGGGCGTTAAGAGTATCGCGACGTGAGATATTGGGTGTGCCGCGGCGCGAAGAAGCGCTGTGGCGTGCCGTGATGGTATCGCGCCGTGGAGGTATGTCGCGCCGCCGGGAGTGAAAAAACAGCAGGTGGCGCCGTGTTGAGGTGTCTCGCCGCGAGGGAGTGGACTGCCGTGCCGTGCGCTATAACTGGTGCTTTGGTGAGTTCGCGGCATGCGCGCGGCGCAGTGTGCGCGTGAATCTGGCCTGGGGGTGGTGACTTCGTGTACGTCTTCACGTCTCGGGCCCATTTGAACTCATTTAAACTCGGAATTGCATTCTGTCTTTTTCTGCTTGTTCCCAACGAACCCGTCTACCTAATTATGCCTGCACGGTCAATGTTTGCCCAAAATTGGGTCCTCTCGAGGCTTTCGACCTGCACACCAAAAACAAAAGAAAACCTGAAAAATACACGAAAACCACATAGAAAACCAAAATAGCACTGAACACACAATAAACACTAAAACAAGCTATAAACTAACGAAAAGACCTAAAGCGAAGGAAAAAGAAAGGAAAAATAACTACGAGAAACGCAAAAAAATGGGACAAACACGCTCGATGACGACCCACACTATCTAATGCAAAACAACAGAACGTAAGAATTGTTTAATCTAACATGTTTCTCATTCATAAAGGATAAAAGTGTAATATCATCTAAAGCCAAGCTTTTAGTATATAACACTAACAGCGCGACGATCGGAGACATGGAGTGCATGATTGCGTGCGGCGGAGACTTGGAGTGCTTGTTTTTGAATTTTCGTTTAGGACTTGGGATTTAAGGAATTCTTTGGTCTGGAATGTAAACTCTGAAGAGGGATGGGAGATGACAGTCCATAGATGAGAATGAGATAAAGAATTGACGAGCGGATTATTAGCATCAAATAACTTGGGCATGTGTCATGCATGTGCGCAGTTGCTTTATTTTTTTTCTCTTTGGGCCTCACAACTAAAAACATGGGCTTGGGTTATAACTTAAATGTTTAATATCGGTTTTCGGTTACGTTTGGTTAACCGAACATTTATTTCCAAAATTAAAAAAAAATTCAAACTGAAAACCGAACCAAAAATTCGGTTTCGATTTCGGTCGGTTATCCAAATTTTGTGCACCCCTCGTAGTTATGTTTTGTGGTAAAAGATTCAATTTTGTTAGCTAATGTGAATTATACTTATTATTCATATAAATATAAATTTTTGAATATATGATAAAATTATACCAAAATACTTAATTTATGGAAGCTCATTGTAGTCAAATCGAATGTGTGAATAAAATTTTAAAATGACACTTATTTTGAGATAAATATAATGTATTTTATTATCAATTACATGCACAGTAGGGGTTGTGTTCTAATTTTTTTTTCTTCCTAAGGAGGATCAATAGTGTT